ATTTTTAAAAACTCCCTATGTTCAGTATTTAACCTGAAAGACATGTAGCCATTTTGGTCCCTTAGGAAAACAACATATATGTTTCATAACTTTAAAATAATGTTGTCTAATGAAATACTAGGAAATAGGACAACATTAAAAAGGTATACAGTCCCAGTCTGAGACAGGTTTCAACTAAGTCTCGCATTTGCACTGGAAAGGCTCTGGCAAATTAGGTAACTGCTCATTTAACTCCCTGATTTGCATACAGAATGTTCACAGCTGCTAGGAAAATATGGCCCCAATGTTTTTCCCAAAGCTAACTTCTATACTCCCCTTAACTTTATGAACCATGGGCTTTATCCTGAAGACCTCCCTCAGGCAAAGAGTTCCACTAATGTCAATGGGACTACTTATGTGACTAAAGTCTTCTTGCATAAATAACTTTTACAAGATAAGACTCCTGTGAGAGTTCAGATGGCAACATTACCCTTAGCACTGAATTTGCATCTGTAGCTTTCATTGTTTTCCTACCACAAAGGACATTTTAGAAGGCAGAGCTTTGTATTTAATGTACTCTATATGAATCAGAAAAAAATCTCCCTCTTATGTTCAACCTTATATAATATTATAATTTAAAAAAACATACTGTTCTTATTTACAAACTAACAGGTAATAGTGGTTACCACTAAAACCTCAGCATTTGCTATCGGATACCATAGCTTGTCAAACTTAGAACAGTAAATAAACAGTGATAATCTGATATTTTTAACAGCAACCAATGTACACAGTTCTCTTTGAATTAGCAACGACCAAAAGCAGACTTTTTTTTTAATGGAAAACATTTACTTGATATTAGAGTTCTTTGGAGGTTTCATCCTTAAGCAGCTCTATTGCCAAGTAGTACAGATCCAGAAGACCAGGTCCAAAACTGATGCAAAACTAGATTCACTAAGGGCTTGTCTACACTTACCAGAACTTTGACACGTGGCGATCGATGCATCGGCGATCAATTTAGTGGGTCTAGTGAAGACCCGCTAAATCGACCACCGATCGCTCTCCCATCTACTCCTGTATTCCACCTGAACGAGAAGCGCATGGGGAGTTGATGGGAGAGTGTCTCCAGTCGACATAGCATAGTGTGGACCCCACGGTAAGTAGATCTAAGCTACGTCGACTTCAGCTACCTTATTCACGTAGCTGAACTTGTGCAACTTAGATTGATTCCCCCCCCCCCCATAGTGCAGACAAGGCCTTAGTCAATTTCATCCTGGAGATGACACGTTTCAAACATCCAGACTTCTATTTTATTTTCAAAATATTTTATAATAGTCAACAGGCATCTATTGCCAAGAAATCTGTACTTCTACAGCTCTACACAGCAATTAACATATAACAATTGTTTCAAAATGGACAATATTTGTTGAGCAATAAAAGAGAAAGGATGGGTCAATGGTTAGAGTGCTAATCTAGGACTGGGGAGCCCTGGTTTCAATTCCTTGCTCCACAACAGACTTTCTGTGTGACCTTGGGCGCATCATGTAGTCTTTCTATGCCTCAATTCCTCACCTGTAAAATGGAGATAATCTTACTTCCCTCCCTAACAAGGGTGTTTTAAGGATGAATACATTAAAGATTGTCAGGTGCTCAGCTATTATGGTAATAGGGCTCATATAATAAGCACCTTGAGTAAGAGAGAGAGCGGACGTTTAATATTTCTGACCTTTTTCAGACCAGAAACACTCCAAGGATTTCACACCCTTCAGTGGAACTGACTTGTCCATGCAGACAGTATCTGCTAGAACTTCCTATGGCTCAAGAGGCAGCTTTTACAATCCTCACCCAACAGCCGGTGTCTCCAAGAAGGATATCAGGGCAAGACAACTTTATGTGGATAACAGTTTCTCCATGCAAGAGGCAATATCCATGTTTCCCTCCTTGCAAAAGCTTTCGGTAACAGGAGAGAAGTTCTCTTTTTCGAAACTTCATCTGCACGAAACAGCCTCTGGATCCCCAGCATTTGAAAGAAGGTTGAAGGGCTTGCTTGAAAGAGCTCGGGAAGAGGAAAAATTCAAACAAACAGTGACTCTGCCACAGATCAGACCTGAAGAATTTTTGAGCTGCAGGTTAGAAAATGTCTTGTGAAAATAGCAAAGAGAACTCCCCCATAGTTTACAGATCTATGAAAATAGGTATAATGGGTATCATTAAGAAGTCATCCTCTCCCAACAACAGCTAGCATAGAATGCTGCACAAAATATTTATTTTCTGGAGCTTGCATAGGAAATAACTGCATGCAGCATTATGTGCTAGCTTTGGCAAATAACCTTTTAATGGTGACTAGTAATGTGGGTTGGTTCAAAATGATGATGAATGATAATGAGAAATACTTCTTTTTAGAACCATTTGAAATATCAAATATCTTTACTGCTAGAGAGTGCAATCCAGGGAAATCTTTAAAACCGAAGCAAAAAATAACTTGTAGACATACAAAGTAACCATCTTTACCCTGCAAATCTGCAGTTTGCAAATTATTTCATTTGACTATGTATATAAAAATAAAAATACAGCTCAACATTTTGAAATACAAATACCTAAATCAGGAACTTAATAGATGACCTGATTTTCAAAGGTGCTGAGCACTCAAGCTCCCATTGACTTCAAACCATTTTTACCTAGTTTTCTAAAGGTAGATTTATGTGCCTATAGCTATACACCACATACGGAAATTTTGACCAAAGTTTCTGGGATACTTGCAAGATACTTTTGCTCTCTCTTTTTTCTTTTATCCAGATACCTACGTTTGTCACAGAGCAATATTAACACCTTGCTACAGCTGTGTAAGGAATCAGGAGTTCACATAGACATTCATCCCCATATGAAGGAATCTGAAATCGACATCAATACTGTTCTCTCTTCAAACCTCAGTAGGGCAGTGTAGAGCTTAAATTCCCTACTCTAAATTTTACTGTCATTAGATCAGTTTGTAATTTTCTGAAGTTATGACAACAGCACATTAAATTAATTCCCATCTGTTGCTATCCTTTAAAGCTTCTCATGTTTTGATTTTTTTTTTTAAAAAGAAGAGAAATCAACTTACACAGATTTTCAAAATGTTATGGTTAAGTAAAAAAAAAAAAAAAAAAGAACTAATTGGACTCAAAAGATGTTATTTGAATAACCAAAATTAGATCCTCTTACTGTAATATTGTATTTCACTGGCTCAGACTGGATTCCAATTGGTTGACGTTAGATCTAACCCCCTTTTACTACACTTGAATTTCGGATCAACACTTTAATAATAAACAAAACTGTATTAGCAACATCAAGCCGTAAGAGGGAACCCTAAAGATAACTGTACGAACCCAGGCATCGGCGTATGCTACCTCACACATTCACAAAAGGCAGCGCAACATGCTTGAGCCCTGATCGGGAGCGGTGCTGAATAGCTTCAGTTCCCCTTTCTTTAACCCTCCGGATTTGGCCCTAATTATACAAAGAAACTAGTTTTTTTACAAAGAGGGTTTTTTTTTAATTTTTAACTTCCCTCTTCTTCATAAATGTCAGTTATAGTTCCTGTTATACAGTATGTTCAGTCTGCTGCATGCACACACACAAACCACCAAAGAATTTAAATTGTTGTATGTGAAATGTTTGTTAACATGGTAGTTAAATATCTAAAGGAAATAAAATCATCTTCAACAAACCACACTGTGTGTCTCATAAGGACCGTATTCTGTTACCCTCCAAGGGCCCATCCTGGAATGTGTCAACCTCCTGCTTTGTCTCCTACAGACTTTAACAGGAATCATGTGTGTTCTGCATCTCCTATACTTGTGTCAACCAATCACATATCAGCATTCCTAAATCCTAGTAACCGGTTTCCTGGTTTAGCCAGAGTGGTTGTTCTGCCCTTTAGGTGCAGATAAAAACCCAACACTCCAGCAGGAGTGCCAGAATCTCTCCTACCCCACCTCTTCCCCCAAAAGCCCCACATCTTCCCCTGAGGCCCCGCTCCGTCCATTCCTCATTCCCCCTATCCTGTCGCTCGCTGCTGTTCCCCTTCTTACCCCCCCCCCACACCCAGATCATAAGGGACTCACCTGTGGACCCGGGACTGGGAGCGGCCATGGCTGAGTAGGGGCTGGCGCAGGTGACGACCCGGTGCATCCTCCACCCGCAGTAACCAGACTTTGAGTGTCCAATCAGTAGATCTGAGCAGACACTGTCAGGTCCCCTTTTTGACCACATTTTCCAGTCAAAAACCAGACACCTGGCCACCCTACTTTCTATATGGGATTGTTAATCAATTAACACTTTTAACTGCATGTACTTAGACTGAGCCTGTCCACTTGTTCACAGTGGGTAAAATTTTCCAAGGTGCCAAGTGACATAGATGCCTAAGTCTCACTGATTTTCAATGGGACCTTAATTGCTTTTGACAATTGTACCTAGTATTCAGAACAGGTTCACAATTTATATGGGATCACTTTATATATATGGGAGAAAAATCTTGCAGGACAACAGGAATAAACAACAGGCATTTTTGTTTAGTCTGAGACTTGGCTGCGGTCATGATCATGGATGGCTGATGCCTAAAATGAACAGCTGAATTATTACCACAAACCTGTATTGCTGATGATTAGCCTTTAAGGAGAGACAAAGTTCTTAACTGTTCAGCACCGTTACCATTTTGCAGATGAACACTATTCAGGGGTCTGCAAATGAAAAATCCCCTACTCTCTCCTCCTAATGATTTAACACACGCAAGAGTGCCCCTTTCCAACCAGTAGATCTCTGAAAATCTGTGGATAGCCGCTTTATATCGGTGGTATCTGCAGACCATGCTTGCGGATCGCTGATCAGATGCAGAAGGGCTCTACCAACCAGCTTAGCTAGACTGACACACTAACATTTCGGCTCTTTCTGAATATAAATTCTGCCCCATTCCCAAGATATTAAAAAAAAACACACACACATTTTTGGGGGGTTGGGACAGCAGGTGAAAGATAGATTCCAAATTTAAGAACCACAGACTGGTTTTTATCTCATTTCTTCATCAAGGATCAGTCAGATACAATTCCATAGAACTCAATGGCATTACAGCAGCAGATAAGTGTGACACCAGAATCAGGTCAAAGACACATGGTAAATCTGCTTCCTAGCATTAAAAAAACCAACCACCCTACAATATGCCCCACTCTAGCCATTTGGTAAGGGGTTTTCATTTGATAAGTATATTACAAATGGCTTTAAGATGCTCATATTTCTCTCATTAAAATCTTAATTTAACTAAAATGAATGTCTTGATTTTGAAAGGCATATTTCACTCATTGTAAAGAATTTAAAACCACAGTTACAGACCCCATTATTTGTATGTTGCTTGTCTACTCAAATCATAAGATCATTGAGGTAGGCACTAGGTCCTTGTGCAGAGCGTACAAAATGGAAACCACTAATTTGGATTGGAGCCACTGAAATATAAATATTTAACAACAACCAACAACAGTGGTTAAGACTTCCTAGCATTAAACAGTGTAAAAGGCATCATGTTCAAACCTGAGCTTCATTGCTATTGGTGCAATTTTGTACCTACGGTAGATTCCCTCCACATTTTATATCTGTAGGAAAATAGATGAATGAATTAAAGGGAAAAACTAAGTGACCAAATCATTGTGGGTTGCAAAATGGTGGCAACAAAAATGGAATCTCAGTTTAAAAATCATGACCAAAACACAGAAGTTTAAAATTCGGCTGTTTAAAAATAAAGATCTAGTCAAATTACTCCTTAGGCCTATACTGAAACATTGCATCATGCAAATTAAACAATTCAAACTCTTCAATATACAATGGCACAAAGCCAATTTATGTATCTTACTTACACTGAAGCCAAAATGTACTTTATGTTAATTAACGTATCTTTTTTTTTCTGGGTACATTTATGAAGTCAGATGCATTGTGAGTATCCACCTAAGCACAGTAACAGGATACAGGCGTTCTAATAAATACAACATCAGGCATAATAGTCTCTTAAAACCAAGTAAGATTAGCAATTATATTCAATGGTTGTATGTTCCAAATATCATTGTGTTTCAACTCTTAAAGATATCCAAGCTGGCAAATCATAAAATTCTTCTGTGACATTGCAAACAATGCTCTGCAGAATTTCAAAGTTTTCATAAACTCATTGTGCCAGAGGTTAAAATCCATTGTGCTAAAGAGATGCTTGTTTCCTGTAGATGACATATTAGTTCTTTTTTTTTTTAAAGAGTGCTTTATTGCATCTTCCATGCCCACTGTAAATCATCAGTTCGAGGTTTCTGACCTGTTAATGCTTCTATAATATTTTCCATTTTCCTCCAAAATCCTATTCTGTCCAAGGGGTAATTTAGCCAGCCTGGAAGGGAAAAAGTGTTGATTAAGAAAATATTTTTAACTATCATGTCTCTTTTTTTGTCTTTCTCCTTGCTAAAATATTATAACTTGCTAGTTACTGCTCTTAAGCATAACCTAAAGCCATTTCCAACCCATACATTAATGATAATGTTTAAAGTACATGTCAAAGGGCTGTTGCAAAGTAATGTTAACGCCATCTGCCCCCATTCTCTTTCTTCCACCCTCGCCATGCATTCTTACATTTCTAGTGTACCACATCCTTGAGAAGACAAGCTTTTACTAGCCTGGGAATCATTCTCCTGAGCTTCATTCACTATCTTTTATGCACCACCAGATCACTGTACTTTGAGATCTGTATTCTGTTCAGTGCCACCATCTCAATGCTCCTTCTGTGGGCATTACAGACGCTTTCCACTTAAATTACCCTATTTAAGATCTAGTTTTAAATTATGGACTATCAAAACAAATTTTCAAAGGCATCATCAATAATGAAGTAAATAAAAAAAACTTCGTAGATGATTATGGATTCATCTGAAACATTATCAAAGAATCATCAACACAGAGTTGGTACAAACTAGCTTCACTAAATCATAAGCAGCGTCTGTCCTTGAAGTCCTGAGCAATCTAAAAACATATGATTTCCTTTTATAGAATTTCTAGTCAATTTAAAATTACAGCAACAATTTACAGAGAACGAGTTTTAATATAAGCACAGGTATGTTAAATACTTTTTTTTCCACATTACTGTAATATTGGATTGCCAATGATGTGTGTTACATTCAGTTATGCAAATATGTTACCATCTGTGGTACACACATCATACAATATATGAAGCGTTGAATGCTACTACATAAAACTGTTCCTCTAATATGACAGTACTGTATTGCACTGAAACAGCTCTCTCCTCTATGAGTAGAGTTTCTAACAGTCTAACTTCGCATGAAAGATGAAGAATTCTCAGCGTTGCACTCTAGAAAGCACCAGATTGTTTTATTTAAAACTCCAGCTTTAAAGTGAACACATCTATTAGGAAGCAACACCAAATGAAAATATCCAGTTTGCAATAATCATTTCAAGAGCAATACATTTTTTCAACTCTCCAAATTCTTCCTCACTCCCCCCATGTCACAACATCAGACATGTCATGGTTCTTAAGAGTTTTTATTTTACCTGTAGTGATGCAAAAATAGGTTTCATGGGGTGCTACGTGATGGATTCTGTGGTGGTTCCTCGGTAAAATGATATGCAGATCTTGCAAAACTGTGACCCATAGAGGCAGCCCAAAGTAGGAATGGGACCACTTATGAATCTGATTAGTCATTGTGACAAAAATAGCTAGCGCAAACATAAAGCACTCCCAAGCATATGTCTCATGTATATATTCTGTACAGGGAAAAAACCATTTGATTAGTAAGCAGTTTGTAAGACTTTATGCAAACACACTCAATTTTAAAAGCAAATTGTGCATGAGAAAGCTAAGATTATGTTGTTCAGTAATACAGAGATATAGTTATAGGCAAGAGAACAGTTCAGACGTCAATAGCTACCCTTATACAATAGTTTATTGACTAATGACTAAACAAGGCTTATGACATAAACCATGAGCTGTTTTTTCCTGAATAAGTCTAAACCAGAGGCGGACAACCCTCAGGCTTACAGAGACAGCCAACTTATGCTATTTTCATTTTGGGGGGCCTAAGACATTAATGAAAAGCAGACATAACCACACAGACATAACAGCAGCCACAGCAACTATAGATGAGTCCATGCTAAACACCACTTATTAACTTACACTCCACAGAGTAAAAAGTGTGCTTTAAAATAAATAAATAAATAAAACGGTCTACAGTCAAAACAGCTAGGAGAAAAAAAAAGTTGAACTCTGGCATGGAAATAGGTCTCACTGAGAAGTGCTGAGTGCTGCAGTGGAAAATGATTTCAATCTGACTTACTTACGATTCACCAAAACTCTCACAGCACATGTAGTCCATTTTACATAGAGTTTGTGCTAAGCTCCTAAAAATCCAGCAGTTAGTGCTGCATTAGGTCCCACTGCACTGAAACCAGTGCACCTCCCCCCCTCCCTTTTTGGCAAAGTGATAGGGGTGCTAAGCGTGTAAGAACTGTTCATCGCAGGACTATGGTGCTGTGTGGTTCCTCCTTTCCCCACCACTTCCACAGGGGATCGCATAAGTTCCCCATATAAACTACTTCAGCCATTCCTCTTCGTAAAGCAGCCTCTGTGAAATGGCTTAGCAGCTGCTGAATAACATATGGGTATTGTTCCCTTTTGCCTCCCTTATGTACTGGACAATAAGGTGATACCACCTAGCTCTTGTCCTGTACTGAGGGCTGGATATTAGACAAAGGAAATGTACTGTATGCGCATAGCAAATTTAGTCATACACTCAATTTCTTAGTCCCTTGAATTAACAGGAGCCATTTCCCAATGGTTTCGGTAAAAGGAATCTACATCCTGCCCCATTTCCCCCCAAAGCCCACTTCATCAAGGGAACGTGCACAAGGGTAGGAGATAGGAAAGCCTAACTTCCGTTCCCACATCTGCCATTCTTTGTTCTTCACAAACTTCATTCATTCATTTGTTACCCTTTTGTTGTGCCTATTTCACCTGCCACAGCTCACCACAACAAGGCAATATTTACCATTCTGAGATAACCTACATGTAACAATTTTTCTGTATATTTAGGACAGAAAGGAGCTGTGGAATCCCTGACCACTGTGGAAACTGTTGACTCTAATCGGTGACTATTGGATGTATGCTCACAAATATATAATGTGTGTGCATGCACATGAACACACACACACAGTGCTCTGCAGGGCCGGCTCCAGGCACCAGCTTGTCAAGCAGGTGCTTGGGGCGGCTGCTCCGGAGAGGGGCGGCACGTCCAGGTATTCGGCGGCAATTCGGCAGACGGTCCCTCACTCTGCCTCGGAGCGAAGGACCTCCCGCCGAATTGCCGCCGCAGATCGCGATCGCGGCTTTTTTTTTTTGGCTGCTTGGGGCGGCCAAAACCCTGGAGCCGGCCCTGGCGTTCTGGCCTTGATGTCAGCTCAGCCTAGATTAGTTCTTGAGGAGAAATAAGATGGAGACACCCAGCTATTTGCTTGTGTACATAAATGCCCTGGGCATATACTCCATTTTATGGCCCTGTTTTGTTGTTTTTATTCACAGTGGCTACACACTGTTACCATGTTGTGTAATAATAACTGAAGCACTTCGTGTTGCACCCTGAGGTCTTAATAGAGGACTACTACCTACTATCCTCTAGCAGCCAACTCGAGACAGTGAGATCCACATTCTTTCTTTGTGTGTTTGTTTTTGGACATTGATGGGGGGAAAAGTCCCATGAAAGTGAAAGATTAGCTAGGAGCAAAAAGTGTGATAGCCAAGCTTTGTCGATTACACTAATGAGTCAACACAAATAATTTAATCTGTTTTCTGTAAACTGTAACAATTTCTTGAGCATTTGTTTGGATCAGAGAGAGCAAAAAGGCTTCCTAGTCGGTGCAGCACGGGCGAGCAATTCTACTCATGACACTTAAATCTGTAAAAAGAAGAACAGGAGTACTTGTGGCACCTTAGAGACTAACAAATTTATTAGAGCATAAGCTTTCGTGGACTACAGCCCACTTCTTCGGATGCATCGTTTTATTTATTTATT